AGTAACTCCAGTTAAATGTTATTCTATTCATTCTGTAACTAGAAATAATATTCACCCTCAATAACTCCAGTTAAATCTTATTCTATTCATTCTGTAACTAGAAATAATATTCACCCTCAGTAACTCCAGTTAAATGTTATTCTATTCATTCTGTAACTAGAAATAATATTCACCCTCAGTAACTCCAGTTAAATGTTATTCTATTCATTCTGTAACTAGAAGTAATATTCATCTTCAGTAACTCCAGTTAAATGTTATTCTATTCATTCTGTGACTAGAAATAATATTCATCTTCAGTAACTCCAGTTAAATGTTATTCTATTCATTCTGTAACTAGAAATAATATTCATCTTCAGTAACTCCAGTTAAATGTTATTCTATTCATTCTGTGACTAGAAATAATATTCACCCTCAGTAACTCCAGTTAAATGTTATTCTATTCATTCTGTGACTAGAAGTAATATTCATCTTCAGTAACTCCAGTTAAATATTATTCTATTCATTCTGTGACTAGAAGTAATATTCACCCTCAGTAACTCCAGTTAAATGTTATTCTATTCATTCTGTGACTAGAAATAATATTCATCTTCAGTAACTCCAGTTAAATGTTATTCTGTTCATTCTATAACTAGAAATAATATTCATCTTCAGTAACTCCAGTTAAATGTTATTCTATTCATTCTGTGACTAGAAATAATATTCATCTTCAGTAACTCCAGTTAAATGTTATTCTATTCATTCTGTAACTAGAAGTAATATTCATCTTCAGTAACTCCAGTTAAATGTTATTCTATTCATTCTGTGACTAGAAGTAATATTCACCCTCAGTAACTCCAGTTAAATGTTATTCTATTCATTCTGTGACTAGAAATAATATTCATCTTCAGTAACTCCAGTTAAATGTTATTCTATTCATTCTGTGACTAGAAATAATATTCATCTTCAGTAACTCCAGTTAAATGTTATTCTATTCATTCTGTGACTAGAAATAATATTCATCTTCAGTAACTCCAGTTAAATGTTATTCTATTCATTCTGTAACTAGAAATAATATTCATCTTCAGTAACTCCAGTTAAATGTTATTCTATTCATTCTGTGACTAGAAATAATATTCATCTTCAGTAACTCCAGTTAAATGTTATTCTATTCATTCTGTAACTAGAAGTAATATTCATCTTCAGTAACTCCAGTTAAATGTTATTCTATTCATTCTGAAACTAGAAGTAATATTCATCTTCAGTAACTCCAGTTAAATGTTATTCTATTCATTCTGTGACTAGAAGTAATATTCACCCTCAGTAACTCCAGTTAAATGTTATTCTATTCATTCTGTGACTAGAAGTGATATTCATCTTCAGTAACTCCAGTTAAATGTTATTCTATTCATTCTGTAACTAGAAATAATATTCATCTTCAGTAACTCCAGTTAAATGTTATTCTATTCATTCTGTGACTAGAAATAATATTCATCTTCAGTAACTCGAATTGAACATTCACCTCTGTAAGTCGATTTAAATACTCACCCCCTGTAACTCGAATTAATCATTCACTCTGTAACTCGAATTAATCATTCACTATGTAACTCGAATTAATCATTCACTATGTAACTCGAATTAATCATTCACTATGTAACTCGAATTACACATTCACTATGTATCTCGAATTAATCATTCACTATGTAACTCGAATTAAACATTCACTATGTAACTCGAATTAATCATTCACTGTGTAATTAGAATTATGACTTGATGGCTTGACCAGTTTGTATTGTGATTTCACTAAAATGTATGCACCTTGTTGCTATGACAACTGTTAATTATCGTCCCAAACTGCAAAGAGGATACGTCGCTTGTGTTACATCAACCAATGTAATATACTTACATCTAGTCTCTGAAATGTACATATTTACAGAAAAAAAAAGTTCCTAACTTATAATCTTAAAATAATATGAAAAGGAGCCCTGAGACTTTCTTCATTTTCATGAAACTGTGGTAACCTCGACTTCCAAGCTATTCTCGACTTGCGTGGGCATTCTTGGCCATAATTGTTTCAGGGTCTGCGTGACCGACTACCATTGTTACTGAAGCTGAAGTAAAGACTGACTGAGTTTAGTTTTATGCCGCTTTTAGCAATATTCCAGCAATATCACGGCGGGGGACACCAGAAATGGGCTTAACACATTGTGCCCATGTGGGGAATCGAACCCAGGTCTTCGGCGTGACGAGCCAACGCTTTAACCACTAGACTACCCCACCGCCCCCTGAAGTAAAGAAAGCTGAAAGAAAGCTGAATGGCTGGCCTGAATTGTACCGTATATCTTCCGCCATTTTGATGAAGTATGGACTCGAGTTTCCATCCTTTTCAACGTTTTCAGCAGCCAGTTTTATCCGTCTCGCTAAAATAACTAGGGAAACATGGGGACATAAGTCATTTAGTAAAAGCTTTCGTAAGTAAATGTCATTTTCACTTACTAAATCAATGAAAAACAAAACGCGTTTATTGAAAGTTTGCACACTGCATGTTACCGATGATGTAATCTGAACTTGTATTTTCGAGTAATTAAATCTTTTCATGTTGAATTTGACTTTCGGTGTTTATGACTTGCTTTGATATTCAGTCACGCAGTGTAGCCACATTAAACGACAGAAGTACAAGCAGGTCCGTTTGTCATGTGCAATTTGATTTTCTCTCTTTGTTTTTCAAACAGACAGACTCCTGGTTGCAGCTATTATTCTTGTGTCAAACAAATATGGCTGACAGGTATGTAATAAAAGTACGCATAGATCATCAGACTCAGAGTTTCAAACTTTTAAACTGATGTTGGCAAATTTGCTATCAAAGTGTTAACATATACTCACCCAAAAAAGAAACGCTCGGATGCTATTGATATATGACATTTTAAAGATTTTTCAAAATCAGTGTTTGATTGTTGTAATTTTAATGCTGGTTTGTGCACATGAAACAAATGCACAGCGCAAAACGCATTTTCTGAAGCTTTCATGCAAGTTTACGTTCGAAAGTGTCAGCTTGCATGCAAACATCACTGAGAAAAAGGTGGATGTTCAGTTCTGAGGACTCATGAGCAGGGGCATTGCCTGCATAGGTCCGTTTGACTTTTAAACGGTCATTGGCAATTTTTAGCGACATGAAAGAATATTGTTATGCCGCGACTCACTGTTGAAAATAGAAACATTGTTATTGGACGTCCTGGAGTCACTCAAACATGTCATTTGTGATCGTTTACGAGAAGCTGGACTTTGAGCCAGAAGACCCTATTTTGGTCCTGCCGACGCATACGTGAACGTCAACCGGCGCTCCAGACTGTAGATCAACTGTCGCAGGCATTGCAAGCAGAATGGGCCCAAACTCCACCAGATCTAATTCAAAGGCTTATTCAGTCCATGTCGAGACTGTGCAGAGCAGTTTTGGGGTTCGTGGTGTTCACAATAGATACTGAAGACGACCAACTGGGAACGGACGCCTTCCCTTACAAGTCAAAAAATTGATTACACAACAGTCTCGTTTCCTGTTGACTGGGTTCCGTCCTACTGCGCAACTTAGAGCAATGACCAGTCCAGACTTTTGAGACCAATTCATTCAACTGGATACATAAATATTAATCAGTATTATTTGATACATCTAACCACTTGTATATTGCAACACTACGCTCCTTATAACCCCTGCAAACATGTCGTGCAGCGTACTCTGTCGTACATCGTGCTCTGACATACGGAAATCTGGAAATCGTGGAAGTCTTAAAACGAGGCTCTGCCGCTAGGAAAGTTTGGCGGTCTGGTACGGACTTGATATTACATCAATCATATTGTGCGTTACAAAACAACATTAAATAACCACAAAGAACACATAACAGGTGTAACCAGTGATCCAGATGAATTGTGAATCAGTTTACGACCTCATTAAACAGGGGCAGTCTGTGACGTCTTAGTTACGGTCATGCTGCCTACACCTCGCCATAAAATTAAAAATACGATATGATGTTATTAAAGTATAAATTACAATTTGTAAATACCATTTTCTTATGAAACAAGGAATTGAAATTCAGTGTAACCATAGTTGTTTGTGGTGTCTCTTTTTACTTTCACACGAGAAAATTCGGATCGGCTGAAAAGTAGCTCATTGTCTGAATAGGTTAATGAGACTCATGTTTCGGTTTGTAAACATTTATAAGTTATACATGTTGACAGACATTTGACCTTTATACTGTGAAATTTGGCAGCAACTGATCCAGAATTACATGTGTTATCTCACTTTAAAGTTAGCAGATTAAATTCGTGAAATCACACCTATGCGTTTTCTGAGAGAGTATATTTGATATTAACAGACACGAGGACAAGATGCTGTAATTGTTCGACTGTAACTAGATTGTATGTTAACATTGTCATTCAGTGGCCCCGCATCAGTGTAGGGATACTGATGTAGGGAATCGAACCCTGGTCTTCGACGTGACGAGCGAACGCTTTAACCATTAAGTAAATTTAACATCGTAGGTAGCCTATACATCTTCCTCTGTGATGCGTATTTCTGTAACTATTTAACCAGTATCGCTTAGAGTGAGTGAGTTTAGTTTTACGCCTTTTTTCGCAATATTCCAGCAATATCACGGCGGGGAACACCAGAAATGGGCCTCGCACATTGTACCCATCTGAGGAATCGAACCCGGGTGTACGACGTCACGAGCGAACGCTTTAGCCACTAGGCTACCCCACCGCCCTAGTTGGGCTAGGAAACTGATTATCGCTATGGATGTCAGGTATTTTGTTAAAACTCAAGGGATAATGCATCCATGCACTCAGATGCACCTTTGTCCCTGATGTGTTTAGTGGGCTCTCAATAGCTGCAGTCAGGCCAGGATAACGATTTCCCGAGTCACTGAACAACACATGTGTATATAATTGTAGTTGACAAACGTTCACATCTGCGTCTCATGCAATCTGCATCAACGATTGACAGTATTTAGATTAAGTGTGTTCCTGGACCTTTACAAACTTAAACAGTGTATAATTTAGTTTGTATTAGGCTTGTTGGACGTGCGGGAGCCTTTGTGGTGAGTAAGCGATTGAATGCTGTTTGATGACGCAGCCAACAGTAGCACAGATGTATTGTCTGTTGTTAAACAATAGAAGCGATGCACATGGAGTGTGTGCTCTGTGTGAGCTTGTCAATGTAGCACGTCGACTGTTTGTTTGTTATTTTGGTGCTTAACGCTGCACCCTGTAGAATTCTAGCTACGTGTTAATAATGTCGGTTTGTACACAGGTGAGTCTGGGCCAGATTAACCCCATAAGCATCGATCTCTGCAATTTGGATCCTCTATTCACAGGCACATTTGCATTTTACATAATACAAAGTCAAAGCAGAGCCTTCAGTTAACACTATTAGCTGTTCGAAGAACTTCAAGAAATATCTGCCCCACGGCTTGCCACTTACAGACAGGAGGGGCAATGGGTAGCCTAGTGGCAGAAGACCCGGGTTCAATTTCCCACATGGGTACAATGCGTAAACCCATTTCTGGTGTCCCCCATCGTGATATTGCTGGAATATTGCTAAAAGCGGCGTAAACCCTTACTCACTCACTTACTCAAAGTTTTGTTAACGGCTGTCAGTAACTAATGGATCAGACAACCCAGCGATAAATAGCATGAGCATCAATCTACGCAGTTGGGACACTATGACATGTGTCAGCCAGCCTGACCACCCGATCCCGTTAGTCGCCTCTTACGACAAGCGTGGGTTGCTGAAGACCAATTCTAACCAGAAGTCAGAAGACTGAAAGGTTTGGAAACATATTAAGATGTCTTAGCCAATGTTTAAACTGCATCCATTTGATGTCCTTCAATTTTTAGACTCCTTTCTTCTGTAAGACGAGTATATGGATGGCAACTTCTTGTTTATGTTATAACACAACGTTTCTGGGCTACATCTTGTCCCTTCTTCAGGTGACTAAAGACAGAATTAGATAGCAAACTATATATACCAGATTTACAGGAAGCCAGATATGTACATGTATATACAATCAATCACAGAGGACCCATCAAAAGCAGTTATAAACACAATGATAATTGGGATAAGGTAAAGACAGTTGACACAAATAATGAGGATAAAAAAGATATAGGCTGATATACAGCTAATTAAGTGACAATAGAGGTGGGTGTGGTTCGGCGTTTATGGTGTTCAAGGCACCAGGGAGGCATCAAACGTCTCTCCAATGTACCTACGGCCACAGTTGCTGTTTAGTTGGTATCTGCAGCCTCATTGCTGGTACCTTTGATATAAGACTCAAAGAACACAAAACATCTGTTGAAAAAGCCGACCACAAATTTGCCCTTTCAGAGCACATAATTAACAACCCACTCTATTGACTGGCAACAGACTAGCATCTTGGCTACCAATGTAGCAACATTATGTCTCTTCTTAGAAACATCTGAAACATGTACCACACTTCCTTGCATGTGATTATACATCTACCTCTATATTACCGGTAAGCACAGCATACGTTAACAAAATGTATTCTGGGACTTGGGCCTTTAGTAAAGAAATCTGAAATCTGTATTCAGTTTAGATTTATGATTTCATCAAGAAAATACATTGTTTCCTGACCAGAGTCTCAACTAAGATTAGTTTCACAAATGGACAACCTGTTAATGATACTCTTCTCGTACTCAGGGGTCTCATCCACGGTATGACCCAGAATATAGACAGGGCGAAATTTATATTATTCTTTTGAATAGGACCTGATAAAGCCTCAAACGTGTCCAAACAAACAAACCTTACCTTGTCGTTTTTATAAACGAATGAAAATATATTTGTCTTAATGTTTTTGTCCCTACTGACATTTGTTTTTGACATTTTTCGAAAAAAAACCACGTGAAATATGCAAAGATTGCTTACGAAATACGCTTGTATCTCAAGTTGACCGAAACCCAAGTGATGGTTTCATTTTTCTAATATTAATAAGGGTTCAGCTGAAATGTCAAATAGAGTCGATATGATTTACAAATTTCTTGTCATGTATTGTGTGATTGATACCTGTATTTACTTTGAAATAAAAGTTTAAATAACAAAAAAACAATTAAAAAAAATCAGAGGCGTGACATCACATCCGGTGTGACGACAACCACGTATATGTTGTACCGCTGCGAGTCACCACTACTAACACGGTCCACAGTGTTCCGTGATGGTACGTACTGCGTTTGTACACAAGGAACTGGATAATTTATCACGAACAGACTGACCCACCTTGTCGGACGTGGAAATATTTTGCACAATTATTTCAATTGACTTTGTTATTAACTTGTCAGCACGTGGGTTCAAAGCAAGTGCTGTGTGTGTTTTCAGTGATCAAGGAAATATAGAGAGATAGATCTGTCCGTATTTGAAATGAGAAAATATTGTTAGCCGTGGAACAAATCGATTATTTAGCATTTGTTTTTGTGATTTCGTCGGGACAAATAACTACTGTCCCCACTGCGTATCAAAGTTTGAATGAGCTGTCGATTTGTTCAGACTTTGCTCATAACAAGGACTGCACGGTATTACCGCTATACCGGTATATGGCAACATGCTTTTCAAACGATACGTATTGTAATATTGTGTCTGCAAACCGGTATATGGGGTAAATAACCTATATGAAGTTTTCGTGATTATCTTTATGGTTTAAATTAAAATGTACACACTTTCATTCACAACAATGTTTTCCTTCCTTATTCAATGACAAGACGGCAAACTGTAATACAATAAACTGTATAAGAAAGAAAATAGAATCCCTGACTATCCCTGAGTACGCTACTGCCGGTACTAAGCTGGTTCCCGGCTCTCTTTGCGCTCGCCAACTTGTGATATGCGAGACGGGACCCAGCTTACTGCCGATACCAGATTTCCGGTGACAAGTGTATGTTCGAGAACCTGTTGTGGTTCCAAACTGCGCGATTTCTGTTATCAGAACCATAACATATATGTTTAGGGACTTATAATGTAGAAAATAGGATCGACATGTACAATTAGTGTCACTTACTGTCAAACACGTAAGTTCCCAATATATCGCAATACGTATCGCAATACGGGTACCTGAATCGCAATATATTGCAATACAATTTATTTGCCAATACACAGTCCTGTATTGTATAGAACTTAAAAAAACACGGTATATATCCTGTAAAACACTGTATATATCCTGTAAAACACTGTATATATCCTGTAACACACTGTATATATCCTGTAACACACTGTATATATCCTGTAACACACTGTATATATACAGTAACACACTGTATATATCCTGTAAAACACTGTATATATCCTGTAAAACACTGTATATATCCTGTAACACACTGTATATATCCTGTAAAACACTGTATATATCCTGTAACACACTGTATATATCCTGTAACACACTGTATATATCCTGTAACACACTGTATATATCCTGTAACACACTGTATATATCCTGTAACACACTGTTTATATCCTGTAACACACTGTAACACACTGTATATATCCTGTAACACACTATATATATCCTGTAACACACTGTATATATCCTGTAACACACTGTATATATCCTGTAACACACTGTATATATCCTGTAAAACACTGTATATATCCTGTAACACACTGTATATATCCTGTAACACACTGTATATATCCTGTAAAACACTGTATATATCCTGTAACACACTGTATATATCCTGTAAAACACTGTATATATCCTGTAAAACACTGTATATATCCTGTAACACACTGTATATATCCTGTAACACACTGTATATATCCTGTAACACACTGTATATATCCTGTAACACACTGTATATATCCTGTAACACACTGTATATATCCTGTAACACACACTGTATATATCCTGTAACACACTGTATATATCCTGTAACACACTGTATATATCCTGTAACACACTGTATATATCCTGTAACACACTGTATATATCCTGTAACACACTGTATATATCCTGTAACACACTGTATATATCCTGTAACACACTGTATATATCCTGTAACACACTGTATATATCCTGTAACACACTGTATATATCCTGTAAAACACTGTAACACACTGTATATATCCTGTAAAACACTATATATATCCTGTAACACACTGTATATATCCTGTAACACACTGTATATATCCTGTAACACACTGTATATATCCTGTAATATACACTGTATATATCCTGTAACACACTGTATATATCCTGTAAATATACAACTGTATATATCCTGTAAACACTGTACACTGTATATATCCTGTAACACACTGTATATATCCTGTAACACACTGTATATATCCTGTAACACACTGTATATATCCTGTAACACACTGTATATATCCTGTAACACACTGTATATATCCTGTAACACACTGTATATATCCTGTAACACACTGTATATATCCTGTAACACACTGTATATATCCTGTAACACACTGTATATATCCTGTAACACACTGTATATATCCTGTAAAACACTGTATATATCCTGTAACACACTGTATATATCCTGTAAAACACTGTATATATCCTGTATATATCCTGTAAACACTGTATATATCCTGTAAAACACTGTATATATCCTGTAAAACACTGTATATATCCTGTAACACACTGTATATATCCTGTAAAACACTGTATATATCCTGTAAAACGCTGTATATATCCTGTAACACACTGTATATATCCTGTAAAACACTGTATATATCCTGTAAAACACTGTATATATCCTGTAAAACACTGTATATATCCTGTAACACACTGTATATATGTATATCAACACTGCATATGTTTCCCCAATGTCAAGCTTCCACTGTAAATTGTACACAAAATGTTCAACTGTATATAGGGAGAAGGCGGCCATAAGTGGTGCACTTGTGCCTAATCCCGTTGTCTTTTGGACAATAAAATATGTTTAAACTAAGTCCTACTCATAACACAATGAAACAAATTTAAACTGCCATTTTGAATATGCAAATTAACGTGTTTTTAGTTGTTTTCATCAACATTCATTAGGGACACCGGAAATACGCCTCGTATAATTTACC